CCCAGTTGCTCACTGCCCCGCACACAGGAGGGACACTCCTTGACCCCCTGTTCTTTCTCAGACTCATCTTTTCTCTTTGTCCCATTTTTTGATAGTCTGAATTTGCCAAACTTTCCATTACAAATGCAAGGGCTTTGAGGGGTTCCAGCCCCAGGACTGGGTTACCAGGCTGCGCTTAGACCCCTGCTGGTGGCACAGATGGCAGTGGCCCAGGAGCCGCTGTCCCTGATCTCTGCATGCTGAGCTCTGAGCTGGGGGTCTGGAAGTCTCAGCAGGCCTCACTCGCCTGGTGCCAACACAGCCCACACTCACAGCTGTGACAGGGCCTGACGTCTTCTAACAAAGCTGTTTCTTTTTTTTTCATGCCACAAGGACGAAGTAAGTGACTGTTTTATGGCTAGCTTGCTGAATTAATTCCCAGCCTCAGGCAGTGTTTTTGCAGCCATGCGTCTGCATGTATGCCCCCCGCGCGTGCATGTGCGTGTGTGTATGTGTGCGCGCGCGCGGGTGCCTCACAGCCTGGTTTTGGGGATGTGTGTGGGTTAGGGAAAGTGACCGTGTCTTTGGTGCGATTTTTCACACCTGCCCTTTCTTCAGGGTCCTCCAGGATCAGGCCTAGGGTGTACCCCCACTCCCACCCCTTTAGCCTGCGTTTCTGTGAGAAAGATCCCCTGGGACTCAGCTCTAGTTTCCTTCCCAGCCAATTGATGCACGTGGAGAGGACAGTGACCAGAACCAGAGCCCGGGGCCTCTGCCTTTGGGGGATGGTCTCCGCCTTTGGGGGGGCAATCTCCATTCCCCCTTGGGCCCGGGCTTTCTGTTCTTCCGGTGTGACGGGTCGAGCGTTTGTTGGGCATGGCTAAGGTGACACTAGCTTGAACGTTCTGCAGCCACTTGGCTCAGCCACGCCCACACCATGTGAGGACATGCATGTTCTTCAGGCATGAGAGGGGAGGGGAGGACACGATACAGGTTTCTGGAAAATCAGACCTTAGCTGCCTCCCTCCTTTCCCCGTCCCTGTCTCTCAGGGTGTCGGGAACCACGCTCGCCCACGCTGGGAGATGAGAGCGTGGTGGGGACGTGCGCTGGGCGTGCTGTCAGGCCTGCGATGGGAGTTCTGGTCATCACTGCTCTCAGGAGAGGCCAGCTCTGCCGGGCAGTGATGACCCTTCACTAGGAGCTGGTGAGGTGACCTTTCACTGGCTGACCCTTCACTGGGCAGTGGTGACCCCTTACTGGGAGGTGGTGACTCTTCACTGGACAGTGGTGATCCTTCACTGGGAGGTAGTGGCCCTTCACTGGGCGATGGTGACCCTTCACTGGGCAGTTGTGACCCCTCACTGAGAGGTAGTGACTCTTCACTGGGCAGTAGTGACCCTATAATGGGCATTGGTTGTCCTTTGATGGGCGATGGTGACCCTTCACTGGGTGGTGGTGACCCTTCACTGGGTGGTGGTGACCCTTCATTAAACAGTGGTGACCCTATACTGGGCATTGGTCGCCCTTTACTGAGCCATGCTGACCCTTCACTGGGTGGTGGTGACCCTTTACTGGACAGTGGTCGCCTTTTACTGAGCATTAGTGACCTTTCACTGGGCACTGGGGACCCTTTATGGGGTGTTAACTTGTCATTCAGTGGACATTGGTGGCCCTTCATTGGAAGCTGGTGACCCTTCACTTGACATTGATGCCCCTTCACTAGGAGATAGTGACCCTTTCCCGGACAGTAGTTGCCTTTCATTAGCATTAATGACCCTTCACTGGACATTGATGACCTCTCATTAGGAGATGGTGGGTTTTATTCACAGTCCAGAGTTCTTACCCTGCCTGTAAGCCAGTGTTTGGAATGATCTTCCACCTCATTTTGGGGCCACCTGTCTGCCCAGCTCCTGAGGGACACTTCCCAGCCACCCTTGGGGGACTTGAGGGCCTGACTGCTACTGCAGCCCCTGAAGCCTCCGCTGGAATTTAGGACCTGTGCTAGCCCTGCTGTCACCGTCCACCCAGGAGCCAGGGCTGCCTGCGCAACCGCTGCGGCAGAGCCCCCCTCGGTCAGCGGGAGGACTTAGGGCTTAGTGATCTCAGGGGTGTGAGGTCTGCTGGGGGACGGGTCAAGGAGCTCAGAAAAAACCATGCTGTCACGGCTGTGACTGAGGTCGGCTTGCTGGCCATTCTATTGCCACCCGACTTCAAGCTCACGAGTTTCCAATGCCTCTCCCTGCACCTGTGCCCAGGAGTGGTCCACAGACATGAACCGAACGCTCAGCCGGAAAGAGAAGAAGAAGGCGACCGATGGCATCACCCTGACGAGCATCAGTCAAACGGGCGACCAGTCGCTGCAGAGCAAGCACAGCAGGTGAGCGCACAGCGTCCTCTGGCCACGCGCCCCCAGGTCAGACACGGGGAGAGCTCCCCAGGGCCCTGCAGAGTGAACACAGCAGGTGGGCGCACAGCCCTGTCCTCTGGCCACGCGCCCCCAGGTCAGACACGGGGAGAGCTCCCCAGAGCCCTGCAGAGCAAACACAGCAGGTGGGCGCACAGCCCTGTCCTCCATACGCCCTCCATACGCTCCAGGTCAGACACAGGGAGAGCTCCCCGGAGCCCTGCAGGGATCCCCAGGGGTGTCCTTCCACAGCCCCAGGTAGTCTCCAGAGAGGCACATCTCTCTGCCCGATTGTGGACCACTGACAGGCCAGGGGGAACCACACCACCCCCACCTGTGTCAGGTCTCGAGTGCGGGCTCCAGTGGTGGTGGTGGCCGCTCTGTGCTAGACCCCGGCAGCGGGCCCCTTTTCGTGGGCCTGTCTACGGTTGACACTGAGGTTGTCACCTCCTCGTGGGCCTAGGTGTCCTGTCCAGGTCTGTGCTAACCACCTGTGCTCAGTGTAGGTACCGGTGGGGGCACGTGGAAGGATTGTCCCCTTTCAGAAGTCACCTCTTTGCTGAGAGTATTGGTTCTCCCAACCTCGTTGTTTACTGAAAGTGAATTGTGTGGGTAGAAGCAGTGAGATGAAGGTTGTTAGAACCTTCTGGAATGAATGCACTACATGAGCTCACAACCACCGTGACGCTGACTGTGTCGTGGGCTGGACCAGTGGCGAGGACTGGGGGCAGGGCACTGCCTGAGAAGAGCCTCTGGGCGTCGAGGCTGTCAGCCCTCAGCTGCCCATCACCAGCTCTTCAGAAAAGGACTGACATGCCTGGGTCTCATCCGCGGGCCAGGATCCAGTCACCGTGGCAGGGCCTGAGACAGATGAGGTTCTTAATTGCACCCCGGTCACTGAGCCTCCCTCCTGGCTATCAGGTTGATCTGTCCCTGGTGCTGTGAGCACCCTTCACCCCCTAGGGGGGCCCCGTCAGCCTGGAGCCACCTGGAATGTCCCTGCCTCCTGTGTCTTGTCCCGCCTCTGTTCAAGTGCCTGAGTGACTCGACCTCATTGGACCTTGGTCAGGCCTCTCTGTTCCTCACAGCCTGGTGTCCAGGTGGTTGATGACAGTAACACACGTGCTTTTCTCTCTGGATCACAAAAGGGGTCTTTCTTTGTTCCTAGAAAGGGTTGCTCGGCTGACTCGGGCCCTGGCTGGACGCTCTGGGATGGGATCACGGCGCTGATGGACAGACAGCTCTCGGTGGCTGGCCAGCCCTGCAGAGCCGGCGCCGAGGCCCCTGGTCGGGTCCTAACGCTCTCTCTCTCCTGCTAGCACCCTTAGTGTCTCCACCAACCCCGCGCAGTCCACGTCCCAGTCCGGCTACAACCCCTTTGAGGACGAGGAAGACACGGGGAGCACCGTCAGTGAGAAGGAGGACGTTAAGGCCAAAAAGTTGGTGAACGAATGCTCCCTGCTTTCCCTCTCTCTGTCCAGGGCTGTCCCAGGTGTGCCCCTCAGCACGGATGCAGGCCACCTGCAGGAGCCACTGCCCACGGGTGCAGGCTTCCTCCTGCCTCTCTGCAGGGGTGCAGGCCACCTGCAGGGGGTGCTCGGGTGCAGGCCTCCTGCGGGGCACTGGATGTACGGTGCCTCCTGCAGGGAGGTCCATGCCCTCTGCCCCTGGGAACAGATGCACGGCTCCTACAAGGAACGCTGTGATCTCTGCTCCTTGGCGCAGGTGCATGCCACCTGCAGAGGGCACCATGCCCTGTGTCCCTTGGGACAGATGCACGCCTCCTGTAGCGGGTGCTGTGCCCCTGCCCGTTGGGTGTATGTGTTCTACCTGCAGGGATGCCATGCCCTGTGCCCTCAGGACAGATGCCTGCCGCCTGCAGGCAGTGCTGTGCGGCCACCTGGGACAGCTCAGCTTCTCCACCCCGGGGGCGGGACACTGCTAACACTCTTCTGTTGCTTTTTCTCTACCTTCACTTACCCGGCCAGGGCCCCGCACAGCTCCACAGGAGGACAGCAGCCTGGCGCTGCACAGCGTGGGTGGCCTCTCCGCCCACTGGTCCCCGAGTGCTCGGCGGCTCACGAGGGTGGATGTGGCGTCCACGGGGGCCTGGCCCGCCCCTGCTGGGAACCCGTCCTCCACCAGAGGCCCTGCACCCCCCGAGCGCCCTGCTGAGGCTCCTTTGTCCCCACTTTGTTGCAGTGTGAGCAGCTACGAGAAGACGCAGGCCTGTCCTGCCGACTCGTCTGACGATGAGCCCAACAACCCCTTCTCTTCTGCGGATGCCAACGGGGACTCCAACCCGTTTGAGGAGGACGCCACCTCGGGCATGGAGGTGCGGGTCCGGGCGCTGTACGACTACGAAGGGCAGGAGCATGACGAGCTCAGCTTCAAAGCTGGTAGGTGGCCCGGCCTCTGCTGTTTGCTGCTGGTCTCACTGGTGGGCTTTTTCCTCCCAGATTTCAAACCCAGCACATCCTTGGTGCCAGAGTTTAGAGAACACTGTGGCCTCAGTCCTCAGACACCACCCTTTGCTGGACTGAGGCAGGATCAGTGGGCACCAGGGCCCCTCGGGCCTCCCTGACACCCCTGGACGTAGCCAGGCCTCTCTGCAGGGTCCTTGGTTTGTCCAGAGACCCCACTGCCAGCATTCCTGAGTGCCCCTGCAGTGGACAGTGCCATCTCACGGCCTTGTCGGAGTCTTGGGCTCTGCACGCAGGTGAGTCGCTCAGCTGAGAAGCGAGAGGCTGTGGAAGGAGGTCTGGCCCACCCAGAGGGGCCTCAGAAGACAGGCCAACCTGTCACCTCAAGTCAGCCTGTGAGAGCTTCTGGGGCCGGTTTCTCACCCCACAAGCAGTGACCATGACTTTGACTGACTGGGTGGCACCTTCAAAGAAAGGTGAGCCAGCAGAATACAGAATTTTGAGGGGATGTTTCACTGGGGATGATTACAGAGTTATCACTACTGCACATCAGGGAACTGCCGGAAGTTCAAGGTGGATTCACAAGGGGATGTGGAACAGGGGTAGCATTGCTCATGTCGAGTGGATCTTGTCTAAAAGCAGAGAATGCCAGGAAGATGCTTCCCTGTGTTTTGTCGACTGTGCAAAGGCCTTTGATCGCGTGGATAATAATAAATAATGGATAACATTGCAAAGAATAGGAGTCGCAGAACATTTAATTGTGCTCACCCAAAAACCTGTACATAAAAAACAAACCAAACAACCAAAAGCCTGAACATGGACATAGGCAAGCATTCAAAGACAACGAGGGAACACGGTGTGGTTTAAAGCCAGAAATGTTATTACATCCTTTCACCATTGCTACCCAGTCTGTCATCTGGGAGGCTGGGCTCTATGAGGAGCAGTGTGGCATCAGGACTGGAGGAAGACTCAACAACCTGCATTATACAGATGACACAACCCTGCTTGCTGAAACTGAGGAGGACCTGAAGTGCTTGTTGCAGAAAGGTCAAGGACTGCAGCCTCCAATATGGATTGAAGCTCAACATCAAGAAAACAAAGATTCTCACCACTGGGCCAACTGGCAGCATCAGTATGGATGGTGAAGAGATTGAGATAGTTAACAGTTTTAGTTTGCTTGGCTCCACAGTCAACACTCTTGGTAACAGCAGCCAGGAAATCAAGAGATGAATTGCATTGGGAAAGTCAGCTGTGAGGGACCTCTCAAGAGCACTGAAGAGCAACGATGTCAGGCTGGAGACTAAGGTGTGCCTGATCCGGGCTATAGTCTTTGCAATTACGTGCTATGCATCAGAGAATTGGACAGTGACTAGAGATGATAGAGAATTGATGCCTTCGAGCTGTGGTGTTGGAGAAGAATGTTGAATATACCATGGACTGCTAGGAGAACAAACAGGCTTGTCCTGGAGAAGGTGAAGCCAGAAGGCTCTTTGGAGTCAAGGATTCTGAGGCTTCGTCTGCCCCCCCGCCCCCCCCCCAGTGCCGAGAGAGACAACCCCCCAGCAGGCTCTGTGGGAGAAAGGCCAGATGAAGGGCCAGGACTGGCTGAGCTGGCCTAGGGGGGCAGGTCAGGCCCCTGTGAGGGGCTCGCTGCCTGGGCATTGGGGTAAGAAGGCTTATGAGCTCTGTGAGGGGGTTCTCTGCCTGGGACTGGAGGGCGTGTGAGCTCTGTGA